TATACCCTGTATAAACTTTCCACAATACTGAAAATATTGGGTCTTTGTGTGACCCAGATATTTAAGGTGCTTCATAAATATATCTAACCATTGATAAAGTCTCACTACAGTAGCCACAATTTTAAAAGAATCCTAACATTTTACCAATTTATTCCAGTTTGTTACTGATGTGTTTCTTCCCCAACAAACAGAAGCCCTGAAGGTGACAGTGAGTCCGCAGAAGGTAAAGGGCAGCATGGGAAGCCAGGTTTCACTGACCTGCAGTGTGACGGCCTCTGAGGAGTACCAGCTGTCCTGGTACCGCAACGGAGAGCTCATCTACCCCAGTAACAGTGTGCGCATGACGGGCCAAAACAGAGAAAACCTGGTCATGGCTGGTATGGCCAAGAGCGACGGAGGGGCCTATCAATGCTTTGCCAGACATGGCAAGATGTCTGCGCAGGACTTTGTTCAAGTCATACTTGAAGGTCAGAAATCACTATAAAGAATGGAAGCATGCATCAGTCAGTGCTTAAAAACTGACTGCTCATCTATTATTTTCATGTGCGTCTCTGTGTGCACATATTCTAACTTGTTACGGCAGTGGTCTCACATTTTAACTTTATATGAGTTTAGGTGCTTATCACATTGTTGACAAGAGGCTTCTATACAGTTTGGATGCCACTAACATAAAGTAAATATTAATAATCAGTAGATTTGTAAAGACAGAAAGAGGAGCTTTACTCTCACTGGGTTGAGACTTACATGAACTATTTGGCATTTGTGAGGAGTCTCCAAAATATTTCAAAACATTTGCAAGGCATGCTCACTTGCCTTTGTCACGGCTGCTTGCAGTGTTGTCCCTTGAATTTTGAATGTTTAAAAAAATTGCAACATATTTTCTCTCAAAATTCTTACAAAAACCTTGTAGACGTTATAAACTTATCTTAAAAGAATCATAGAACAAGTACTAGATGCCTGCAAAGAATGTCTTCCCCAAGGCTACAGTCCCAAATATCCAGATCAAACCATGACAATAATTAATATAAATTATTTGAAAATTATCCAAAAGTTACCAATTGTACTGCAATAGATTTGTCCATAAACATGAGGGCATTTGCCAAGGTGAGTACTGTTATGAGGAGAGCTGGCTGTGAGTCACTGGGCCACTGCAGCTAACTGTTGCTAGCCGGGGCCTTGGGCCTCATCTCGGACCTAGGACCCACCTCCAGACCACGTCGCTACCCCCGGCTCGAAGTGGCAACTCACACTAATTAATAAATCAAGGAAATGTGAATTCAATTTTACCAATTGTATTAAAATCAAGGCAGGAAAAGGTACAGTTTACAGCGCTGGCCTCTCCGGTCTATGACACAAGATCAGAAACCGGAAGGGCTGATGTCCCGTGTCATTACTGATTTATAGGGCCTAGACTCCTCCTTCGCAGAAGGGGAGCTCAACCTGTCACGTGTATGAGGGGCCGTGACTAATTGTGATCTCAACGGATCTTACATGGTTTGACGTGTAAGGACAATTGAGACGGTGCTTCAAAAGTCTTTCTACATGATGTGGCAAGCAAAAATAAACTCTATTGCTTGACAGATCGTGAATTCCTGGGAGACTTTTTAGAGTTGCTGGCCCCGTTTAACCCAGTCAGAACCGGGTCATAGTTTCATTATAATCCTGTTTCTGAGCAGATCAAAAAAACCCAGGACCAGTCTAGATCATTTACTAACAGTACAAAGCAGTCTTGATTGAGTGCAGTGTAGGTGGAAGTGGGCAATAAAGTAACATGTCCTACCTCGAAGGCAGTTTTGCAAGTCACGGTGTGTAAAAGTGTCCACTCAGAACCTGTTGCTTGATTAAAACGCTCAGAATTCAGTAAGAATGCAGTTGTGTTGCAATTTTATTTGCAACTAAAGAAACTGCATTTCCTGCAAAAATGCAGTGTGAATGCTTATTGCTGAAGAATTTGCTGAAAAATATCTGGAATTAGCTAAAAGAAATGCTGCATTATAGCTAAAATGGAAGAACAAGACTACGTTAGCAGAAGAAAGCAGAAAGAATGCATATTTGGTAATTTATGTTTAAATTAGCAAAAATGAACAAAAAAAAAGAGGAAATTAGCTAAAATAGCTGAAATTAGCAAAAATATAGCTGAAATGTAGCAGAAAAGGACAAAAGAAGCTTAAACTTCAAGAAAGAAGCAGAAAGAGCTGAAATGAGCTAAAAATGTGGAATTAGCTGAAAAAGCTAAAATTTGCATAAAAACAGCTAAATGCTAGCTGAGATAGAAGAAAAAGCTGAAACTAGCAGAAAAAAAGCTGAAAGGAGTATAACAAGCTGAAATTACCATAAATAAGTTAATTAGGTTGAAAGCAACAACAAAAAAGTACCATGAAAAACTTTAATTTATCTGAAAAAAGCTGAAATTAGCAACAACAACAAAAAAAACAGCTTTGAAATAGTAATAAATAAATAAATTGATAGAAGCTTAAATAACCAGAAGGAAGTGGAGAGAGCACATTTTTATAGAATTAGGCTGAAAAAAGTTGGAGTGCTAATAATGTGGAATTAGTTGAAAAAGCAAAAATTTGCGTAAATACAACTAACCATGCTGAAATTATAGAAAAAACTGAAACTTGTAGAAATAAGCTGAAAGAAACATAACAAGCTGAAATGATCAGAAAGAAATTAGAAGAAGCACAAACATCTTGTAGTTAGCTGCAAGAACCTGAAAGGAACACAAAATAGCTGACTCAGCTGAAATTAGCTGAAAGTAGCTGAAAAAATTTGCACAAAGAAGCTGAAGCAGAACAAAATGTGAAAGGAGCAGTTAAAGGTTTAAAACAGGTCTAAAAATATGAAGGATGTAAAATGAGCTCATTTCATTTATATGTAGAAAAAAATGGCAGAAAATGCCAAATTTTTCAAAAAGCTAAAGTTGCACCAATACCAAAAGTTTAGCACCTGAAGGAGATGAATGTTTTGATACCTGCAATAAATTGCTAAAATAACTTAAAAACTGAAAGACGAGAATTGGTCCAAAAAATGTACGGAATGGGAATAAAAGTCAGACTTCATAAATATAAACAAGAAAACAATAGTGTGAATGCTTTATGACATGCACACTATTATAGTCACCAGCTACAATAGTCCTCAACAGTTGAGGCACAGTGAGATTTTACATTTACAATATTTTGTTTCAACAGATATCGTATGTTTTTACTAAAAGGTTCTTGTCATAAAAGCTTGATATGGATTTCTAATATTATTTTATGGCTGACTAATGAAAAACAAGTAAATATGGATGATCTGTTCTTTGATATTCTTCTGTCCAGACGGCACCCCCAAGATTCTGGAATCATTCAGTGAGAAGGTCTACAATGTCAACGAGTTTGTGTCTCTCTCGTGCATGGTGAAAGGCACGCCAGAGCCTCGGGTAATGTGGACTCTGGACGATGAAACTGTGACACGGGACAGCCGGCACCACATCTCCTACTACACTAATGCTGAGGGCCATGTCGTCAGCCACCTGAATATCACCCAGACCCAGGTCGCTGATGGAGGGGTGTACCGGTGCATCTGCAACAATTCAGCCGGGACAGTTTCCTACCAGGCGCGAATAAACGTAAGAGGTGCTTGTCAAACCAACTCTTCCAGCACACCATCACATATACACATCAACATGTCTTGAGGTATTCTGTTTTGATGCTTTTTTTATTAAATTGGCCAACTTGAAAACATTTAAGGTACAGAAGTTAAAAGAATGCCTGAGTTAAGTTTGTTTAGACAATTCAGTTTCTGTCACTTTTGAAGGCCTCATGTTTTCTCCCAGAATAGTGGGAACGTGTTTAAACTCGAATATAAACTCAAACTTGTTTAAGATGTTAGGACCGTTGTTTGACTGGAGTGCTATCTGCAGCATCGTATTAAACTGGACGGCTGTTGTCATGAAGCAGTAACACTGAAGCATTCAGGAATGTTGTGCTGGTATAGTTGTTATACTCCCTCTACTACAGATTGTGCACAATAGTGTCTGTTGCCTGATTGGTTTAATTTGATCATGTTTATTCCAGTGCTAAATGAGAAGATCCTCTAGTCATTACTCAAGGGTCTATGGATGTCAAATGCAGCCAACCGCTGAAGATAGACCTCCACAGATACAATTGCGGGCAACGTGTAAAGATTGTTTATTACATTGCTGCACCCATAATTGCATTGAAACAAATAGCAAAGCAGGCTAAAGCTTGGACTGAAAGAATACTATGGAGCATATCCTGATGCTGATCCATCCAGGTAGAAAAATCTAGCAATGTTAAGTCCGGTCCTCTGGACGGATTAAAAAAACAACAACACTTTATATATAAAATTATTATTAATATTTATTTAAATCCATGCAGTGTACCTGACTTAACTTTGTTAGCTATACTATGGAGCCTTGTGCAGCTATCAGTGTCTTACAGACAATCTATGTTGGCTGGTCACTTGTCACTTGTTATAATGAGGAATACCCAGATAATATGGACTGAGAGGAAAACAGAACCAAACTCAACTATCATTGAAAAGGTTTTATTTACAGTAAGGCAGGGGAATATTTACAAGCAGGGTCTGTGGAACAGAGGAGAGGAATGAATGTCTGGAAGGTAAGATTAGTCCAGCACATAACTGATCAGAATCTGAATTTCTTACAGTTGTAGGAGTCAAGACAGCATGGTGAGAAGGCTGAGGGTTTTTCCAAAGGTAATAGGTCCAGGCTGTCTGAAGAGACACGTGGTGGATGGCGTGGGTGCAGCTGAGGACTGAGAACTGTAGATGAGAATCATTCAGGGATTCCTTAGTACTTTGGGTCAGGAGATAAGATCCAGGATATGAAAACACGAAGGCCGTAGTACAAGGTACATATTTAAATCGCTAGGTACAACACTCAGCTGGAAGCATATGTACTGGCAGGTAGAACAATGCTCCAGCAATGACTAGAGCTCATCTGAAGCCTTGAGTAGTCCTGGCACCAATTGAGGAAATGGTCTCCAGCTGCAGCTGCTCACCAGCTCCACCCTTGCATTCAGGAACCTGGTGGAGAGAGGATGAAAACCCCTACATCAGTGTCCAGTGAAAATCTTATGAGTTGTTCTTTTCCCACAAAGTTTGAGTGAAAGCTGACAGTATGCTTAATGGCTTTAAACAGCTTTAGATGAACCATACGCTCAAGGAAGCCAAAGGGATATAGAGAAGAACATTTTTAAGAGTACGAGTTTTCGCACGTTATTGGAGTTATCCTTGGTACTAGTATTGGGGCATCCGTACTACAGTACCAAACATATGGTTCTAAAAAGTCAAAGAGAAGGGGGATTTAATATAAAAGAGTTCAGCAGTTAATGACTCTTATCCCAATTTATACTTTTCACGGTTTACTCTTGTCTTTAAATGTCTCCATGCAAATTTAAGCAGACATTCTGAAACTTCTCGACGAGCCAAAGACATGTTTATGCTTGCAGAATGAATCAAGGCATGAAAACATTATGTCTTAAGAACACACACAACCTGGCACAGCTGCCTTTCAGCCCATCACCACCTCAAAATCATTTTAAGAGAGTTGTCTCTCTGATGTGTCCTCAAGGGCCTGCCAGCATCAGACCAATGAAAAACCTCACTGCCATTGCTGGGCGGGACATGTACATCCACTGCCGTGTCATTGGCTACCCCTACTATTCCATCAAGTGGTACAAGGATTCCAACTTGCTACCGTACAACCACCGGCAGCGGGCCTTCGAGAACAACGGCACCCTGAAACTGTTTGATGTGCAGAAAGATGTGGATGAAGGAGAATACACGTGTACCGTGTTGGTGAAGCCCCAGCTGTCCACCCATCAGAATGTCTGCGTCACAGTGAAAGGTTGGTACCCTGATCTGTTTTCACTTAGAACGCAAAGAACTTGGTTGGATGATCAGTATGAGTGTTTATTTATTTATGGGTGGGGGTGGGGGGGGGGGGTCTAATACTATTGAAATGTTTGCTTAAAACTTTAACATTAACTGTTGGAGCCAGTTCTGTTTGTGTGTTAGCAAAATATCTCATGAACCACCAGATGCATTTTAATGAAACATTAGGAAAGTTGGTTCGAGGTACATTCATAACATTAATTTGGGGAGTCAGTCCAAATTAAAATGGCCACTACAACTAATTCATATTAAATGGTAAATTGACTGTACTTAAATAGCGCCTTTCTTTTTAGCGCCGTTCTTTAAAAAAAAAAATTCTTTATTTAAGAATATGCATATTTAAATTCCAACATCTATATGTATACATACTTATAATAGCGTAATACATAAAAGAAAGGACTAAAAATAGAAGCAAACAAACAAAAAAAAGAGATTTTGTTTCTCAGCTAACATTTGAAGTCCATTTCAGCAACTGACGTCCCTCACGAAGGTCCTCAAAGGCTCACGTAAAAGATGGGAGCGCCCATCCGGCGTCAAACACAACGAGAGGACAGAAAGATCTGACACCTCCTCTCAGAACCATAACTCTTTTATCCGTGTGGCCATCCAAAATGGGAAATGGCAGGGGCCCATACACTCAAAGAAATATCCATTTTTAAATGAAGTTTTGCCGTTATCTTTTCTATATAATACACATTTTTTAATCTTTCTTGCCATTGTTGAAGGGTGGGAGGTAAAGGCTTGAGCCAGGACAGAGTTATCATTTTCCTTGCTACCAGTAAAAGAATCTGTAGTAATTGGGCTTTCCTTTTCCCAATATGTTCTCCTGGGGTCAAACTTAATATATAATACCGTGGGTTCAACGTAAATTAAAAAATTTTTGAATATCTGTCTGGACTCCTTGCCAGAATGAAATCAACAATGGGCGATCACAAAAAATATGTGTATGGTCCCCAATCTGATTGTAGTTCCTCCAGCATAAATTTGTAGCATTTTTGTCAAATTTTGATATACTAAAGGGTGTTCTGAAAAATCTTGACAGGTAGTCACTGACATGAGCTCCTCTCTGGTTCTGAGGCCTCTGTCTGAAGAGACATCAGCCATGGAGACCATGGAGGTCTGGAATAGAAAAAGAGCAGAAAAGGTTGCACAAAAAACTGAATGAGCAGATAATAGTAAAGAGAAATACTTAAAACATGAGAAATAAAAAACTATTTAGTAATATGATTATATACCTGATTGCTGGACATGGGCACCGGCGACCCCCGTGACCCAAAATGGAAGAAGTGGGTCAAAGATAATGGATGGATAATATACCTATTACTTTCTTTTTATTTGTTCTTCCACTTGTTTCATCGTCACTCAAACAACTGCCTCTTCACACGGCTGCTGTTAGAGAAGAACATGAACCTGACGCTCAGCTCAGAGGAGGAACTTCTGTCCTCTCAACTCAAACCAACTCGAACAAAGAAAACAAGATGTTTGTTTCAGATACCCTTTAGAAGTTGATACGTTTTAGATGAGCAACTGGGGTTATCCTAGTATAATCTTACTATAAATATTAAAATTAGTTTCAGTTATTTAGAGCTCACCATAGCACAGAGACAGTTGAAAGTTACTAATGATATTCTCATGGTCTCTGACAATGGGCAGGTGTCTACACTGGTCCTGCTACACCTCAGTGCTGCATTTGATGCAGCTGATCATATTTTATCGCACACATAAGACTGAAAGTCTTTGTTCACAAATCAATTCAATTCAGTTTATTCCTACAGCTCCAAGTCACAACAGAAGTCATCTGAACAGAAACATTTATATTGAAACGTAAGTTAAAACTATTTATCTGAGGAGCCAGCAGAATGATTTGAGTTTTAATATATTAGCAAAACAACTCATAACTAGCTCTGAAAATATAAACTAAAGTCGCCAATCAATTCTAAAACATCTTGCTTTGGTTGAACCCTTGGCACGTGCACCCTCGTGCAATATTACACCACTGCACCCAGTATCCACTGGTTAACTGGTCACCATTAACTCCACACAGACTCTCCCACTGGTACATCTTCATCTTTAAATCACTTCTTGGTCTGTTGCCTTCATACATCTCCTCCTACATGTCTCTGCGTGAGTGCAGCTACAGCGTGCGCTCTCAGGACATCATTACCTGCAGTGTTCCCTCAGTGAGGACTGAACTAGACAAAAGGACCTTCTCCTACTCCGCTCCTGTTTCCTGGAACATCTTGTAAAAAGATCTGAAGCTCTCGACCTTTGACCTCTCTAAGTGGCTTCAAGCATCTGTTGGACACCTGCAGGGTCCAATGCAGACATGTTCCTGTTTTTAGTTTTCTACATTCGCCTTAGAATCTAGCTGTTTTTGTTACTTTTTTTTGCCATTTTATTTTAATTTGTTAAAAACAATGTGTATGCCTCTTATATTGTCCACTGTTGTCATCACTCTGTTGAAATCAGGTGTCTCTTGTAAATGAGTCCTTGAGGCTCAGTGGGATCAACCTGTACAAATAAAGATTGAATGAATGAATATTCAACGCGTCCAGTCTCAACCAGTTTAACTGAGCCAGTTCAGACAGTTCATCATCCTGTTAGTTCTCCCTCTCTCTCACTCGAGCTGCAGTTATTCTTCTTCTCGCCTTTTGTTGATGTTTGTTAATAAAAGCTTGGTTTGGCTCCTCATGTTTATCTTCATCTCAGCCCTCTTAATTAATTTATTTTACCTGGACACAGCTGACAACACTGAAACGTTTCCTGCTACGAACAAAACTTTTATCCTGGCAGGATCAGCTCAGTTCAAACTAAATAAATCAGTTCATACATGCCATATCACAGGAGAACTCCCCGTCGGTGGTTTTTTATCTTGTCCCAGTCCGTGTTGACAAACTCATGCTGCGCTCCTTCTTCTTCTTCTGTTTTAAAGGCAGCGCGCTTGGCTCTTCTTCTTCTTCTGTTTGTCGGTGCAACCAGCTGCTACAGTAACAGTGATTGTTGCTCCCAGTTGCTGTAATAACAGTCCACATGCAACTTTTTTTATCTCGTTCATTAAACGCTCAAATTGGGGACATTTTTGGGGACAGCTTTAGTCGGGGACAGGTCGTCGAAATCGGGGACTGTCCCTGAATATCGGGGACGTCTGGTCACCCTATCGTAACAGTTAATTTAACAGAAAAAGATTTAGCGCGGTAGGAGCCGAGTCATTTACAACACATTCTTTAAAGTTCAAATCTGGTGATATTTCATGTGGTTGCACATGTACGGTGGCCCTGGGGTGTCCATGAACACATCTGAAGGACAAACAAACAAGAAAACAACAGAATTACGTTTCAACAAACAAAATTACATTTGAAAAGACACAACAAAAACACAACAACATTTGAAAAAATGCAATTACATTAAGCCAAACCTCTTTTTTTTTGTGCGTTTTGTTTTTACTTTATTAATAACATAAAACAGAACAATGTAGAGTAGGGTCATTCCTACTAGTCGGCACCTTTTCAGTCATTTTGTGCTATATTTTGTTTCAAGGTGGGCTAATATTCATTTTACTAATCTCAACTTGTATGTTTGACTCCCCTCTACCATAAAACACAACCATATGTACACAAGATGATTTTATTTTAAATAATTAAATCAAATTTTTAATGCAACTTGTGTTTACTGCCAGGTATGAGCCCTTTCATGCTTTCTGAAATTACGTTACAATTCTAAGTAATTTAAAAAAAAAGTCATTTTTTAATTTTTTTTAATAGTACTATTTAGAATAGTTCTCATCCAATGACTTTTTATGATATCAAAATGTTTTTAAGCTTAAATGATTAAAAATAAATGGAGTCCCTGAGTCAGCTGTCCACCCTGTTACTCTAAAACACCTGTCACCCCAGTCCCATGAACGTAATTCTGTTTTTTTCAAGTGTTCATTTACACCTCAGGGCCACCGTACATACGCTTATTTTTGAGTTTTGACCAAAATGGCAACGACTCATTTTTTAGACTTTGTTGACCAGAGTCTAAATCATAAAAGACGTTGGGTGATATGCAGGACTGTTAGTCACATACAGGACTAAGGCTGTTTATTTAGGGTGTGCATACACACCGTGTCATTCCAGTCTTTATGGATTACAGTCACAACGAGCCGCCATTAATCTTCCTCTGTGTGGCTGTCACTTCATCACTCTGCACACTGACTGTGTAAGGTGGTTCCATCTTCTGCGAGTCTTGCATTCACATGGCATTTCGAAGATGCTCTGAAGTATCCAGACACCTGATACACACACAGGCTGATGGATATTTGTGGAAAGCCCTGTGAGCAAACACATCATCATAAAACACGCGGCACCGTGTCCATCACCTCCACCGTTTTACCCGCAGCTCATCTCAATACACGGACGATGACGACCTCAGATTGCTCTCTTTCATTGATGACGCCGTAAAACATGAAATGCCAGCTGGGAACCCCCAGCCCCTCCCGCCTCCCCTCTGTCTGTGTGGCAGGTCTTGATGAACTAACAACTGTGTGAGGGGGGACATCACACGGCGTAGGCAAAGCCACGCCGTTATTCCGCCTCAGCTAATTTGCCTCTCAGCTGTTTAGCATTCCACAGCTGCCGAGAGGAAATCCCCAGGAGCCTATTATGCCTATTTCGTTGAGAATTAAATAAATACTGAAGAGCTGCTTATTCCAATAGTATTTTATGTCATTAATTTACAAAGCATCTGCTTCTCACGATGGCTACAGTGTCCCTGGAGAGCAACAGAGAGAAAGTGTCGTGTGCATGTTTTTACGAGCCACATCAGCAGCTTTGTGTGCGAGGAGCTAATAAAACATTTCTTCTGTGGTTTTGATTGATTTATGAACATTCATAACATGTTTTGACATCAACACAAAGCCAGTACGGATAAAATATAAGCAACATTTTCTAAAGTTAAACCTTTAATTGAATTGTTTGTTGTTAAATGCCTGCAGGAAATAAACCTCCATGTCTCCTTCACAGTCCCACCCACCATCCACCCTTTTGAATTCCCTCGGTTTTCCATCGGCCAGCGAGTCTTTATTCCATGCGTGGTTATGTCTGGGGACCAACCTGTCTTCATCACCTGGCAAAAAGATGGCCGACCAATCCCAGCCAGCCTGGGAGTCACCTTAGACAACATAGACTTCACCAGCTCTCTGCGGATCTCCAACCTGACGCTGGCCCACAACGGCAACTACACCTGCATCGCCCGCAACCAAGCTGCTGCTGTGGAGCACCAGAGCCAGCTCATTGTCCGAGGTGTGGGGGTAGTGGTGGTGGGGGGTTAGGGTCCAAGTTGCAGGGGCCAAACAGAATTTATTTGTTTAAATAAAATTTAATTTGTTTGAATAAAAATAAAAACAAAGTAAAAAGAGGAGAAATTGCATTTTGGGGGGAAATCCAGTGAGAATGCTTGGTGCTAAATGAATTTCCTTAGGAAACTGAATCTGAGTAGCTAAAGCTAAAGAAAGCAGGGCATTAGCTAAAAATTAAAAGAGCATAATAATATACATGAGCTAAATGAGCTTAATTAAAGCTCAACTAAACGCCAGCTGAAGCCTAAAAGTAGCAGAAGTCCAGCTAAAAGATAAAAGTAATATAATGATAGCCGAGAGTCGCATGCCGTAACAAAAAATAGAGCAATCTGACCGATGTAGATTTCAAAATACATTTTCTATGTAACTGAAGACTTAATGAATTTCAGCCATCCATTTTATTCCACTTATCTGGGGTCGGGTCGCGGGGGAAGCAGCTTAAGTAGGGAGGCCCAGACTTCCCTCTCCCCAGGCACTTGGTCCAGTCCCTCCGGGGGAATCCCGAGACGTTCCCAGGCCAGAAACATAGTCCCTCCAGCGTGTCCTGAGTCTTCCTCTGGGCCTCCTTCCAGTGGGACGTGTCCGGAACACCTCACCAGGATGGCGTCCAGGAGGCATCCTAACCAGAGCCACCTCAACTGGCTCCTCTCGACGTGGAGAAGCAGCGGCTCTACTCTGAGTCCCTCCCGGATGATTGAGCTTCTCACCCTGTCTCTAAGGGAGAGCCCAGACACCCTGCGGAGAAAACTTGTTTTGGCCGCTTGTATCCGAGATCTCATTCTTTCGGTCACAACCCAAAGCTCATCGATAGATACCCTCATAGACGAGGGTGGGAACGTAGATCGATCAGTAAAATGAGAGCTTCGCCTTTTGACTCAGCTCTCTCTTCACCACGACAGACCAGTACAGCGCCCGCTTCACTTCAGATGATGCACCTATCCACCTATTGATCTCACGTTCCATTTTTCCCTCATTTGTGAACAAGACCCCAAGATACTTGAACTCCTCCACTTGGGGCAGGACCTCCTCCCTGACCCGGAGAGGGCACTCCACCCTTTTCCGGCTCAAGACCACGGCCTCGAATTTGGAGGAACTGATCCTCATCCTGGCCGCGTCACACTCGGTTGTGAACCGCTCGAGCGAAAGCTGTAGATCACGACCTGATGAAGCCAACAGGACCACATCATCTGCAAAAAACAAAGATGCGATCCTAAGGATTAATATCCTGATGCATGCTCAATAATCCAGGTAGAAACATCTAAAAAAATTAAGTCTGGTCCTCTGGACATTCAAAAAACAAAACAAACAAACAAAAAATGTAGAAACGTTTCGTCTTTCATCCCGAGGACTTCCTCAGTCTGAGGTGCTGTATTCAGCTCAGTCTCTTAAATAGCACCTTCTCAGAGTGGATCAACCAGTTTGCTGCTGACAACCAAAACCAGCTGATCACATGCTCAAGAAGGACCATCAGCCTAACAATGGATCATTAGCACCTGATGGCTGTTTACTGTTCACAGAGGGCTGAGTGATACTAGCAATCACAGCATTGTAAGAGGGGGACAGTTGAACCTGGAGGCTCCACCCCTGTTTAATGATGGACGATTTCTTTTCACAAAGATGGCCTCCTTTACTCCTCTCTCAAACCATCGTTCCTCTCTGTCCAGGATGTGAACATCTTCATCCCTGAAAGAGTGACCTCTGGCCTGGAGATGAGTGTAGACCGCAGAGTCCTGGCCTGATGATGTTGATCTTCTGTGCTGGTCCATCCTTTTGGCCAGTGGCTGTTTAGTTTCCCCGATGTAAGACTGATCACCCTCCTGAAACTGAACAACATACACAATATTACTCTGTGTCGGGGGACTGGATCTTTGGGATGAACCAGTCTTTAATGTATTTTGGGGTTTAAAAGCCACTGGGACGTTATGTTTAGAAAATAAACGTCTCAGTTTCTCTGATACTCCCTCAACATCTGGAATGACCACTGGTCTGGGTCTGGGTTCCTCCTTTTCACCTGATGCTGACTGGGAACATAAGGATTAATGGATTTCAATGTGGACAATATTTGTAAAAACATCCTGATGCATGCTCAATAATCCAGGTAGAAAAATCCAAAAAAGTTCAATCTGGTCCTCTGGACGTTCAAGAAACAAGAAAATAAAAAAGACAATAAACAAAACAAAGCAAAAAAAACGTATGTATTCTGAATGTGCAGAGGACCAGATTGAACTTTTTTTGATTTGTAAAAACAGTTCAATAAAACTCAGAATTTTAATCTCCTGAATCAGCTGAATGTTTTAATAATGAAATGGCTGAATTAGCAGTGGTAGAATGCACAAAATGTAGGGATCCAATAGAGGAAAACAGCTTTAATGTCAGGATTCACACAAGAAGTATATTTTATGTCATAAATGTCTAGATTTTTAGAAGCAAACCTTTATCTAAAAGCTGCTTTCTTTTCAGTTCCTCCCAAGTTTGTAGTGCAACCCAAAGACCAAGATGCAATTTACGGAAAGGCCGTGATACTGAACTGCTCAGCTGAAGGCTATCCTGTTCCCACCATCCAGTGGGAGTACTCTAAAGGTAAAAGTACACATTTTTACAGGTGTAAATACACATTTACACAGGTGTAAGTGTACACCGTACACACAGCTATGAAGCACAACTTCTCATCATTTAAAACATACAACCGGCAGTAGATGCTAAATATTTGTAGCTCTTATACCTAAATGAGTGCGTTCTTGGTTTTATGGTTCTCTTTGAAAACTAAAAGCGTTGTTGTTGACAATAATTTGACCACTTTTATGTTCTTTGTCTTTTTATTGCCTGCTGCCAAAGGCAAAAGAGTGTAGGTGTCTGATTGTCTTTAGTTAGTAAGACATCTCATGAACCAAGCGACTGATTCTTTTACACTTGCAGACTGAAACTTTTGCATGAACAACAGGGATCTTAACGTCTTTTTGTAAGAAATATTGTGTAAATAAAAACAATTAAAAAAAGGTTAATATTTTTAAATTATAGAAGTTAAAACCAATATTCAGCACAAATCTCTTGAATGTTTTGATAATTAACCAGCTAAACCAGCATCAAGTATGCAGGAGTAGCAATCAGACATGCTGAGTCAGCGTTCACACAATTACAGCTGTTTAATAAAACATTAGGTTTAAGCACAATAAATATCCGGTAACGTGTGTATGATGTTCAAAAATGTGTTGCACACAAAAAAAAATTTAATATTTAATTTGTTTCTCAGTAATTTGGCTTTATCATATAGGCACCGTCACCAGAACCACACGTTCCTACAGCCACACATCTGGATTTTCAGCCACACATCTGGATTTTCTCTTATGACCCACTTTGGTTTGACAGTAATAAATTATTCAAGTTGATGTAATTTAGTGATTGAAAACTGTCAAAGTGTTCCTCTGTTGAGGATTTTAAAAACAGCTTAAGATATTTATTTTCTCTGGCTTTTAATTTGAATTAATGTTAATTGACTCATACATTCAGCAGCCTCAGCACCAACAACTTAGTGCTAATTAATCTATTATTTGTTTAATTTGGTGTTTTTACAGTTCAGGATTTATTCTGCAGCCACTCCACTTGTTTTTAACTAGGCTTGACTAATAAACGATGTGTTTTCTCCGCCAGGCTCCGGGGTCCCTCAGTTCAAACCCATCGTCCTAAACTCGGGCTTTCGAATTGAAGTTTTGGTGAACGGCTCGTTGCTCATCAAGCACGTGCTCAAAGAAGACAGCGGTTTCTACCTTTGTAGAGTCAGCAACGACGTCGGGGCTGACGTCAGCAAGTCCATGTTTCTGAACGTTAAAAGTAAGTTTTATGATATAATCTAATACAGACACAACACCTGCCATGTACACCATTAATCAAACCTGGGATTATTTTATCAACTAAACATTTGCTCATGTGTTCACTGGGAAATGTAGCAGACAGAGAACCTGTCTAACGTCATGCAGTGCATTTGGCAGATCAATGATGATGGTTTTGTTGGTTTTCTGCTGGCTTCTATATGTGTGTGTGTTTCTGCTCTTTAAGAGATGGTTTAGTCATCTTTGGAGTGATGTTCTGTCTAACACAGGTGGGCAAACCTTCAGACTCGTGGACCACACTGAGTTCTAAAACTGGAGCGAAGGGCCAGGAACAGCTGGATGGAGTGTTTGTGTGATGTCACACCCCAGCACAACAAACAGCCACCGGGACGCTATTAATGATGGTTGATTCCACCTTCTGCACCACTCAAGCAGCCACTAAGTCAGATTATATGATGGAACAGTGATTTTATTGACAATAGTTAAATTATTAACTTTGTGGAGTCTTACCAACTTCAGGCCAAACAACAAACAAAACAAACCACTGTATTTTCTCTTACCTGAAGAAAAATCACATGAACCAAACCACAAGTCTCTTACCTCACTGTGCTCATGGAACACAGGAGAAACGTCTAAATAAAGTGTCAGCTCACCTCCACAAACTCCTCACTAAACTTTGTACAACTACAGGATCTAAAGTTGATGACAGGTCAGCAGGTTGGGGATGGAAGCAGACGTCCTCCTCCTGCAGCTCCTCTGTGCAGCCTCACAACAGAGAACCTGACAATAATTCACACAATTAACAGTTTCACACACAAAACACGACTTACAGCGATTCCTGATGGATGAAAATAACATCTGGTCGAGGTTTTTCTTTCACTTTATCCTGGATTCTTGTCAACAGCCCGACATGTTTTCCACTTAAATCTGGTGACGTGTCCGTTGTGACAACTTTACTCCACAGAAGCTTCATTCTCTCATGACAGCAGACGGTTATAAAAATCATCTCCGTGTTTTTCCTTTCAGAGACTCCAGGGTCAAAAACACCTCCATTATCTCAAAACTGTTGTTAATCCCACAGATTAAAAATAAGAGCTGAGCAGTGTCCTTTATTACTTTCATCCAGTAAACCGTAACTTAAAGGCCTCTCTCTGCCTTTTAACTTATTTTACTAAATCTTCATCAGTCAGTTCCACAAGGTGAGTCCCAGTCCTGCGTGATAAACTGATGTTTTCTAACTTGTCTTGGCCCTTCGGACACAACAGACCTCCTCTGTTTTTACCATGTTTCTTTAAAAAAATCACCATTGGAGAAAGGCTTGCTAGCATAGTTAGCAGTTAGCAAAGTGTACTCTTTGAAAACCGCAACAGTTTCTTGGCATAAAAACTTTCTTTGATTGGACCTCAGTGAAACAATATGTTGTTGTCCACCCCATTTTAAACACTCGGCACTCACTCTACACTTTTCTTTTCTTTGATAAACACGTTTTACTGACGAGTTCGAAGGGCAAAGTAAAAATAAAAGAGTAGAAGAAGAAATTACTTCTTCTCCAATGTTAATTTGCCTGTAACACACGCTAGTGTCTGTAGTGCGCCTCTACTGGGGAAATGCTGGAACTACAGGTTAAACACCAGTTTTTTCCCTATTAAATTCAGTTTTTTAAATATAATTTGAACCAGTGGCAATTTTAACCTCTTTTTGGAGTTGCTTAAACACCCCAATTAAAAAGCCCAATGGGCCGTATACGGCCTGCGGGCCGGGGTTTGCCCAGGCCTGGTTTAACAGCTAACAATAGTTAGTATCTTATCAGCCAGGACATGTGTTACTGAGCATGGAGTGTTGAGAAATAGGAAAAAGTCTTTGTCCCGATGAAGCTAATGACCAGCCAAACAAGAGCCTTTGTTTTAAATCATTTTTCAGGCTTATAAAATAATTCTCAGAAACAACATAGCAGAACATGACACAAACTGATACTTAACTTCTACAATTTTGCATTAGCCTCTTCTTTAGTTTATTTTCTCAAATGAATAATGTCCATGTTCCCATGAGAATTAATTGGTGCCAAGTAGAGACTGACCGATATGGAAATGGAAATTTTGGCTATCGCCGATACCGATTGGTAGGAGGGTGCTACCACCGATAACTGATATGATGGCTGGAAATTTTGAGCTTTGTCCACCCCCAAGAATCTAATAAAAGAGCAAGTGGAGCGGGTCATAAACACGTGATAAACGAGGGACTACTGTATATACATTTATATATATATATATATATATATATATATATATAT